TGAACTGATCCATTTAATCCTAAAAATCTAATAGTCGAGTCTTAGTTCTCATCCTTCTTACCAGCAGCTTCTGTTGGAACTCCTCTCTCCCTTGGCATTAATATACTTTCTTCACGTTGTTTTCTGTACCCTACACTCTCCTGATTTTCCTCACACTTCACTGCATGCTTTTGCTCAGTATCCTCTGCGGGTTCGTCCCCTTCTTTCCAATAATAGTCTCCTAGGGCTCAATGTTCTTTCCCCTTCTCTTTGATAGCCGCACACCCTTGGTGATTTAGTCTAGCCTCATGGTTTTAATTACCATCTGTATGAGGATGACCCTCAAATTTAGATCTCTGCTCCTAGCCTCTCAGTTGAACCCCAGCTTGTGTGCCCAAATGCCTATTTGTCCATTTGGATGTCTAACAGACTAGACAACATGTCCAAAAGTTAACTCCTTCTTTCTATCCATGGCTTCTTTCCATCATAACGGATAGAGATTTCATCCATTTAGTTACTGAGACCAAAAAACTTGGAGTCCTCCTTGATTCATCTCTTTCTCTTATATGCGTAACTTCCCATTAGATTTCTTCAAAATATATGCAGAATCTGATCATTTCTCATCACCTTCACTGCCACCATTGTCTGAAACACCGTCACCTTAATCTCTTGCAACAGCCACCTAACAGCTTTCTAGCCTTGTATGCCTGGACTCTGTGCTCAACAAAACAAGAGACTGATATTTTATTTTTATTTTTAGTTGCAGTAAAACATATATAGAAGAGTGTAAAGTAATCTAGTAGAAATTGAGGTAAAACCAACAGAAAGTGTATAAAGTACTCCAGTTTTAAGTATATAGCTGATTGATTTTTTAATATGTATACACCTGTGTAATCACTACTCAGCTCAAAACAAAGCACACCTGCCACGTATGTGTTCCCCCTCGCGCCCCTTTCTAGACTATACCCCTCCAAAGTTCATCACTATTCTACTTGCTGTTTTCGTTGTTTAGTTTTGATGATCTTGAATTTCGTATAAATTGGGCATCACATAATATATACTCTTCCGTTGGCTTCTTGAGCTCATCTATATGTGAGACTTTCTCAGGAGATTAGTCGCTTAATCTGTAAAGAGGAGGGTGGACTGAGATTAGGAGCTAAAATTTGAAAACATACTGATGTCCAACCTGAATCCACAGAGTTTGCAGTTCTTATTGTCTGGGGTCAGACAGAGGGAAGTAGTATATTCTAAAAGATCCCAAAGAGAATCTAACACGTAGCCTTTGGATCAAAGGGTCTTCCTCCTCCCCCACCCCCATACTCATTTTGTCCTTGAGTACAGGGACCAATTGGCTACCGCTCCTTCTTTCCTCCATTCTTCACCAAGTATGCACTGAGCATCTGTCAGATACCAAACACTATGCCAGGTTGTTGAGACTGCATGAGTCAACAAAACACAGTTCCTATCTTCCAGGGGCTTAAAATCTCAATAAACCCATAGCTTCATAAAATCAAAAGTATACCTGAATAAATAAGTAAATAAATATAACTATGACAGCTCGACAAACATCTTTATATGCCCATAAACCAAATAGAGGGAGTGAGGAGAGAGAGATCGAGAAAAGATTAACTTTACCAAATAACTTAGTAATTCTGAAACGTTTTTTAAATTTGGTCAAATTATTGCTTATGAAGGGTTGACTCAAATTTCAAATCAGTTGCTTTACTTTTCAAAATGAATTTGTGTCCAGACAAATTAAAGGGCACTGAAAAGAAGAGGTAAAATAATTCTTCTCCAGATATTAGACATAGGGACACAATTTGTAAACATATCCAAAGGAATAACTGTGTCATCTTATATATTTATATATATAAAATAGTATTTTGAGCATTTTTGTCTGTGTTAGTTAACTGATTTACTTACATCCTTCCAGAGAACTTGCTTCTGAGGATAATTTTTCACTTTTTCCTTAGCTATTAAATATAGTTACCCCTCCAAAAAGAGACACTGTAGACAGGGCAACACACTACTCTTCTTTATGGCAGTGTTTGTCAAATTGTGGATTTCTATATCCCTTAATGGATCCCGAGATCCATCTAGTGGATTTTAACCAACATTTAAATAGATTAAACAGAAGACAATATAATGTAGTACAAAGCATCACAATGACTTCAATTTAGTAAGAGTAAATATTGTTCCACGAAACTGTTTTTTCCATTATATTTATGCAAGTATACATTGGGCTGTGCTATTGAATGTATTTCTTGCTATGGCTATGAGGCACAGTCAAAATTTTAGAAAATAGTTTGTTAGGGTACATGAAGTTTTTCTAATTAAAATTTGACCCAAATTATTAGGTATTGAAATACAATTTGAATTTTGATAGTTTATTTGGTGTATGGTTTAAGTAATATTGAGAAAAAATAAAACTGGCTTTAATCAGTTGAATCAATTTGATGGCAAATCACTTTTATCTGTTTATAATTATCAAAAAAGTTTATAGAGTTTTAGTTCAAAAAACAATTGTGTTTTAATATGGCAAAAAAATACACCTAAAACAGTTTTTACAGAGCTATTTAACTGGAAAATGTTTAAGGGCAACCTATTTTTTTTCAAAAAGCAGGAATTCTGAGAAACTAATCTCTAGAATTTATTGAAATAAAAATAATCATTATCAAAAACATATTGTTATATAATTTAAAAGTCCTCTCAAATTATTTTAAAGTATTCCTCTGATGAGGAAGCTAATCATATAAATGACATTTAAAATTTCTCAAAGCAATTTTCTTTCATTATAACTTTTTTGCTGTGTAAACAATGTAACATAGTACCAACAACCAAGATTCAATTTATAATTGGACTTTGGAATTAAGTACAGAAAGGATATTATTTTCTTAAGTTATGTTTATTATGCTGTTACACTGTTGGAAAATTAATTTTGACCAACAAACAAATATTGTTGAACAAATAAATATATTTTAATAAACTAGCCTTTAAGAGTCATATTGGAAATTTTATATTCAAGTACTTCTGTTGCTATTGCTTTAACTACTGTAGTATAACGGGAAACTGAATTAACTATCTCAGATTGTTGGTGCTCATAGTGAATTACTGTAAAGGAATAATACAAAGCTTTGGATGCTCCTGATAAATAGATATAAAAGGAATGCAGAGTATATTTTCAAGTTTATGGTGCATGTTGAGAGAGAGTTGTTTGTCTGTAATACCCAATCTGGATGTCAGTTTATTTTTTATATGGTAGCCAAAAAATCTATCTTACAAACTTAATTACAGATCCTATTTATTAACTTTTTCTTAGTCTTCCAATAAACTGATATTTTTATGTATAATAAAAGTAGCTAAAAGCAATAATAGCCTATTAGCACTTTGCAGTAAATTATATGTTTGGGCCCAAAATCTTCTTGCTTTTTGTAAAAGGCATATGATTATAAAAGTGATAATATCAGGACTATGACAGCAAACATTTTAAAATATTCAATTCTCTGTCTTAATATTAGGTGACAGTAATTGTTTGGCATTTCCTTTTTAATTTTTTTAATGAACCTGAAAAAAATAATTTTAAAATATCACTTTGGGTGGACAGAGTAGAAGATACAATTTGCTCAATTTTTTCTTCTCTTTCCTCCTTCTTTCCTTCCTTATATAATTTTATTTCCTAGTAGCAAAGTGAAATGTGAAGAAAGGAAAGTATTTGAAGTCTATTTCAGCACCATAGCCTTATTGGATATTCAGATATTGATGGGCAGAACAAGAATATTCATTTGGTCTTATGTGCAGCATCTTCAACTCTTGTTATTTTTTCAGTAGAATAATTTCAGCAAAACTGACTTTGTAATGAATCAATATAAAAATCATTTTTTTTCTCAAAGCAAATATGTATACCTTGGCTGCCATCATTTTTAAGCAAAGAACATCCCATTGGATATTATTACTTAAACTAAATTTTGCACAAAATTACATTTAAAATGAAATGTAAGTAGTTGTCTATTTTATAAGGACAGATTCTGGAATCTATTTTTTCTTTTTCTTTTCTTTAAGAGACATTTGACCTTACTATGAAGCTAAGCTAGAGAGGACATTGGCAGAACTTTGTATGTCCTCATGCATAGCTTTTGATGAGAATTTAAGAAGACAGAAGCCAATCCCTTGCCAAGTATTAAGTTTAAATCTTTTATTTACTTTAGAATTTCAAGATCTATGGAATACCAAAAAAACCCAGGGAGATGATTCACAAAGAACTGGAACTTCCTAGTTTCCTACACTCTTTAAAAAAGTCTTAGCTGTTTAACTTTGCTATGTAACGCCATGACCAATATTGAGATCAACCTGTGAAATAACATAAATCAGTCATTTGGTTTTTTGCTTCTCACCCTAAATGGTTACAAGCTGGTTATCATGTTGAAACTATTTAACAGCCGTGGCATAATTCTTTTAAATTACAAAGGCAATACCTATACTAAATCAGAGGATTATGCAATTTTAGAAATACAAATGCAACTTTTAAAATAAAGACTGGTTATGGTTTATGATGAAAATATGCTTCATTTCTTTCATATTGTATCAACTCTTTCTCTATCTTTTTTATCTTTTGGCAACTTACCAAATGTTACTGCATGAATCTTAATTCCCCACATCCTAACATCCTGAGACTCCCACAGGCAACAGTCTCCTGATGTGTGGACACTTTCCTTGAGACTTATTTATGAAGCACAAAATCCAGTTTTACGTTACGTAGGTGGGTTGCTACTTTGTAAGAATGCCATTCTTGATCAGGCCTTTATGAATTGTTAGTAAGAACCAAAGTAGACAATGAAAGCTTTATATTCATTTTGCAATTAGTCAAAATAATTCTAGTTAAACTCTGGTAAAGATCTCTAGTATGAAATGAATGTAAAGTATTCATTCTTTCTTTATCTCTCTCTCTCTGGTTTCATTCTAGCTCATTTATTTATTTAAAAATAACCCTCTAAGTTGCTTTTTCACTGCTTTTCATGTTACAGATTGAAAATGTTGATGTCTGCCTTAGTTTTCTAGCAGCCAGAGGAGTAAATGTTCAAGGTTTATCTGCTGAAGGTAAGAAAAAGCACACTTGTCACAAATGGCATCCATGTTTGTAAAAGATTATTCATAATGGAAGAAATGTAAAGTGGGATTACATAGTTCCTTAATACAACAAAGGAGATCAGTAAAGTTTACAAAGTAATAGAAACATAAATGCAGTACTTATTAATGTATGCGTTAGTTATTTAGATATGTTCCATATTTTGCAAAAGCTGTTCTTGTCATGGCTGAGTGTATGTGAGGGGGATAGATTAACAAAGCATCTTTATGTTATTAGCAGAGTAGAGCATTTTTAGAGTCTTAAGTACATGGCTGGATAGAAGGATAATACATAGACATACACAAAAGGTAAAAATGGTATAATTAATGCTCAAATATTATTTTACCAATAACGTTTCTATGATATGATCAAGTTGGTAGTCTTAGTCTAAATATTTGGTAAGTTTAAATAAGTCATCATGAGCTTTAAATGACTAACATAACAATATTAGTAACTGTTATATATAAAAGCCTTAAAATAATTAAAGGTTCAAACGGTTATTACTCAAATTGAAGTATAGAAAAGTGGACAACGACTGAACTAGTTCTGTCATTTTCTTTTTTCTGGATCTTTTTCTTCCACATATATTCTTAGAAAACCTTTCCAAAGTTTTCAAGTACTGTTAACAAAAAACAATTGCTTAAGTTATGAAATAGCAAGTCCTTGGAGACCTGAATCAAATGTAATTAAATTAGAATATTAATTGTGTATATAAAAATTCTGTTAGATGCTATTAAACATTTTGACGATTGAGGTTGGTTAATGTTTCTACCACAGTTAGTTTGCTCTGAAAAGCCTTTTTCCTCATAGGTACTAGAAATACTAGACAATTCTAAGTTTTAAAAATTTTGCTGTCATTGGAAAAAGAGGAATTCTGTGGCTTCTGAAATATTATGAACATTTAGTAGAATTATTTAGTTTTTCCAATTTTTCTTCTAGATTTGAATTTTATCTTAAATTTCTGTTATCCTTTATTTGCTATGATGTGTAACATTAAATTAAACATTTAATAGACAAAAATCTCAGGTTTAAACCTAGCTGATGGTTATGTTACTTAGAATAAAATTTGGTGAAATTCTCCCAGATAATATTTTACTTTCTTTGTGGTTAAAAGCAGGCTAGAAATGCTACTATTTGTTCATTTTATGTCTCTTCCTTCTCACATGACATCCCTTATCAACATAAACCATTGATTTTTATTTATTTCTAAAAATATGTGATGCTCAAAATTGATTTTCTAAATTAATTAAACATGCATAGCTGTAAAACAAGAAATTGTTAAAAACTCTTCGAATAAGATCAGTCAGGTTTAAAAGGGGAAATTAGTACTTTCTCACTGTAGTTTCATGTCGATCAAGCCAACTCTTCTATATTATGGCTACTGTGAGGAAGGTTTGGGAGGAAAAAAAGAACATCTCAGAGCCCCGTTGTATATGAATAATTCCATCGCATGGTTTGTGTGACATTATAGACCATCAGAGGGCAGGAAATTGAAATAGTTTACTAATGTTCCTAAACTCCACAAAGGACACATAAAACCTTGACCTCACAAGAGGATGTATTTGATTGCTAATAGCAAGTTTTGTTTAAAATATGACTACAGGTCGCATAGCCTTATTTCAAGCTTTACTTCCATCTCTTTAAAAAATTTTTTTTTTTTTTATATTAAAGATTGGCACCTGGGCTAACAATTGTTGCCAATCTTCCTTTTTTTTTTTTTCTGCTTTATCTCCCCATCCCTCCCCCCCCCCCCCCCCAGTTGTATATCTTAGTTGCAGGTCCTTCTAGTTGTAGGATGTGGGACGCCGCCTCAACGTGGCCTGACGCGTGGTGCCATGTCCGCGCCCAGGATACGAACCCTGGGCTGCCACAGCGGAGCGCGCAAGCTTAACCACTCGGTCATGGAGCCGGCCCCTTAATTTTTAAATTATAACTACAGGAGAAAAATCTAGGCTCCTGTTGTAGACTACTTTGTGCATTTAATTTTTTATTCAATATTAGAAAAACTTACACAGGAGCCCCACGTGTTAAAACTCAGATTTCTACTCATATTTATTCAATTATGTTACCTGAAGTCATGAGTAAGCTGGTCTTTATTATTTATTAATATGTAATGTGAATTAAAAATAAAATAATTGGAGCATTAAAAATGGATACACATGATGTAGTGGGCTTTTTGGAGGATATATATATATATATACATTTTTTCTTTTGAGGAAGATTAGCCCAGAGCTAACTGCTGCCAGTCCTCCTCTTTTTGCTGAGGAAGACTGGCCCTGAGCTAAAGTTCGTGCCCATCTTCCTCTACTTTATATGTAGGATGCCTACCACAGCATGGTGTGCCAAGCAGTGCCATGTCCCCACCCGGGATCCAAACTGACGAACCCCGGGTCGCAGAGAGGCAGAACGTGCAAACTTAACCGCTGCGCCACCTGGCCGGCCCACATTTTATTTTCAAATAAATTGGTTGGTGGGTGATATAGAAGGAATGTTGACTGCTATAAATCCAGTGACTATTATGAGGTACACTCACGGCATCGATACTTATTATGCAGGACGACCAACATTTAAGTGGCTTTCTTTCTCCGCTTCATAACCATCACTGTCTTGGTAACAGCTGTGTGTATTTGTGAGGGAAGCAGAGTGTTATCAAATAATTAGCACGAGACAGATTGCACATCCATTTCTAAGAAGAAGCTAACTCTAAAAAAACTGTAGTTCAGGGTCAGCAAAGAGCATCACATGAGTAAGTTTTGTTCTGCTGACCCTCCATCCCTTCACTTTCTCCCTGAATTTTCCAAGCTATGTGTAAATGTTAGCATGTTCCAGAAAATCAAGTTTGTTTGAATCTGTGACTGAGAGAATCAAGTTGTGTTTCTATCTTCATAGATTTAGTCTAAGAGAATTGCATCTAGAATTTCATTTGTAAAAAAAAAATCATTTTATATGATACTGTTTTTATATTTTCCATTTGATACAGAAATAAGAAATGGAAACTTAAAAGCCATTCTAGGGCTGTTTTTCAGTCTGTCTCGCTACAAGCAGCAGCAACACCATCAACAGCAGTATTACCAGTCCTTGGTGGAACTGCAACAGCGGGTGACTCACGCCTCCCCTCAGGCAGACGCCAGTCAGGCCAAAACCCAGCAAGATATGCAGTCCAGGTAAGGAGGGGAGTCAGGGCATGTACTTGAAGTTCATTTGTTTAGGTACCACTTGTTTTTAGCAAATTGTTTTTTGTGAGTTTGAAAAACATATTTATGTAGTTGTGTCAATGTGATGGGGTTGTTTGACTAATGTGATAGAAGTTAAAACCACTTTTCTTTTGGCTGGATGAGCAACATTTATCACTTTTTACGGGAAATATCTGTGTTTGTTTTCTAAAAATGCTTGTGGTTTGCATCAAAGTGTGTGCAATGTCTTTCTTGTTAGTCACGTGGCACGGGTACTTCCTTCTGCAAATTACTTTATTATTTAGAATGCGCTACTAAGCCTAGTCTCCAGTTGTGCAGTTATCTGTTGTCGATGCTTTTGATTGATTAAATTGTTAAATCTTTCAAAAATGTCAAGCCTGTTAAACATAGGAGTTTGAGTGTTTGGGAACATACGTTTTTCGAAGTGAGACTCTGTGTGTGTGTGTGTGTTTATATACACACATGTATATATTTGTCTGACTTGAGTCTATGGTGCATGTAGACACAGCCTGGGGTGAGTGCTGACAGATCAGGGCAGCTTTCTTATCTTTTCCATTACCGCTTTTTTCCAATTTGAAGTTATAGCAGTCTGGGTTCAACCAGAGAAGCAGAACCAGTAAGAGATACATATTAGGAGATTTATTGTGAAGAATTGGTTTATGTGATCGTGGGGACTGTTTATCAGGTCTGAAATCCCAACGACGGCCCAGCACAAAGGACAGGCTGAAACTCTCAGCGTGAGCCAAACCTGCTATATATAGGTAGAATTTCCTTCTCTCAAGGAAGCTTCAATCCTGCTCTGCAGGCGTTTCTAGTGCTGAATCAGGTCCACCAGATTATCTAGGATGATCTTCCTTATTTAAAGTCAGCTGCCGTGGATTTTCAGCGCATCCACAGTATATTTTCACAGCAACACCTAGATTAGTGTTTGAATAAGTGGGACTGAACAAGCCTGGGCAAGTTGCCACATCAAAAATGACCACAGGGGCCGGCCCCATGGGCTAGTGGTTAAGTTCACGCGCTCTGCTTTGGTCGCTCTGGGGGTTTCGCTGCTCCGGATCCTAGGCGCGGACATGGCACTGTTCATCAGGCTACGTTGAGGCGGTGTCCCACATGCCACAACTAGAAGGACCCACAACTAAAATATACAACTATGTACTAGGAGGATTCGGAGAGAAAAAGAAAAACAAAATGACCACAGAATGAAATGAAGTTAACAGGTTTCATGCAAACTGCTCATTTGTTCCTGATCAATGAGCAGGCTATCAGGTAGTCAGCTCTATGGCATAAATAGCTATTGTTTTTTTAAGGAAGGAGAATGTCCGATATGGAAATACTCTTCATCATCTTTAAAAATATATACACATATCAAACATAAATATTTAACTTTTTCCGTCTCAGAAGCCGAGACTGAAACATAATAATAATCATTTTACCTTGAGTTTGTTTTTGGGAATTAGTATTGACTTAAAAAGCTAAAATTCTGAAATACGCTCACAAACTACCCTCTACTTAATGTCAAATATTCAGTGATTCAAATATCCCCTTCTCTTTCACCTGTCAACCAGCCCTCACTTCATAATAAGCAATATTTCTTTCTCTATATAACCATGCAAGCTCTATTCTCTTTTGTGGATTTTTTTCATTAGTCGATTATTAAATCAATAAAGAAAAATCATAGTTTTACCAAAGAATATGGAATATACTACAAAGTATTACTACAAAATGGAGTAATAAGATCTATTTCTCATTACTCAGTGATACAGATATACTTCTGTTTTTTAAACTTGTCTTGGCTTTTTGTGATGTCGAGTGAAATGTGCAGGAATCAAAGTGGAAAAAAAAATTCTCAACAGTGTAAGTTCTTTGGATTTCCTTAAGAATAGGGAGAAAAGAAGAAATATTTATTTTTTATCATTATTTTTAGGGGGATGGTTGGTAGAAAGAGATCTAGATTTTGAAAACTGCCAGGAATAATATTTCCTACAGTTTGGTTTAAGCCATTTGAGTGGAAAAGAAGCAAGAATAGTAGTAGAAAAAATATAGGAAGTAAAGTAGTATTGTATGAAGCATGTTGACTCTGGAAGTGATGTGGAATTTCATTTGTCTTTCCTTTACCTACTCTATTTCTGTATCTGCCATGTGGAATTTCTTGCCCAGAATTTCTCAGTGGTTCTGACTCTTCTGGGGAGATTTTTTTTTTCTGTTCTTGCTGGATATGCATGGCTGTTATGAAAGTGTATTATATTTTAAAATATAGACCCATATGTAATAAGCATCGTAATTTTATACCATTTTGGGGAGAACGGTCTTATTTTTCTCATTGAAATGTTATGAAAAGTAGTCTTTTCACCAATGTCCTTTAGGACTGAAATAGATTCTTAAATAATTCTTCTTCTGATAAATTGGAGTTAATTACTTTTTGGGTTGATAATAAATTTAATAAATGTTGAGTACTTGCTGTACTAAATGCAGTATTAAGACCCTGATATAGAGGAGCTCAACGTCTTAATTTTAATAAAATTTATTGTATGTTTTGGAGAATACATTTCATACATTAATATTTATTTTCATTTTTATATATTTGATATAGTGAAATAGTCTATGAATTAGAATTTCTGTGGACTTATGTAATAATAGTGTATTTAAGCCCTTTTCAAAAGCCCATAGTTATTATACAGAGAAAAAGAATATAGTGTCTATGTAGTAGAAGCAAGATGGTTAATGCAGGAAAAGAATTCCAGTGACAGATTTTTCTTCATTTGCTTGAGATGTGAGTCATAAATCATGACTTATGAAGCCTTTCTGTTGATTCCAAAGCTCTTCCCAAGTAAATAGCTTAAGTGACTGGTTCCTATATTATTCTGGATATTTAGCCAGAAAATGTTCCTATATTTTTCTCTGTAGACTAATAAAAAAATTTAGGGCACATTGTTCCATTTCAATGAGACTCTTTTTTGTTTTGTTTTGTTTATTTAAAATAAATATCTATATATATTTCCACAAATAAATTTGTTTTATACATTAAGATTTTCTAATTTGTTTTTGCTGTTTTGAACATAACTCCAAATGTTTTCAACCAATTTGAACATCTTTCATTTAAACAGACATTTTGATCTAAAGGTTACAAGTAGTGCATACAAGAGACAAAATGAAATGTGGCCCAGGAGATGTAGAATACGGGCAACCAACTCTCTTCTGGTCTCTCAGCTCCTTCTCCACTCTTGTTTGTGGGTGTGCATGCATACGTGCAAGTATGCATGCGTGTGTGTATCCTGTTCAAATGGCAAACTCTAGTTATTAAGAGCTTGCTTCTAGAACAAGACTGGCTTCCAATCCCACCACTTCCTAATTGTGTGACCTTGGGCAGCTTACCTAACCTCTCTGTGCTTCAGTGTTCTCATTTATTAAAAGGGAATAAAAAATGGCACTCATCTCATGAAGCTATTTTGGGGGTTCACTGGGTCAGTACATCTAAAACACTTTGAACATACCTGGCACATGTCACTCCCCTGCTCAAAGCCCTGCTATGGTCTCAAACAGCCCAGGTTTGCTCCCAACTTAGGAAATGTACTCTAGCTCATCCCTTTGCCCAGAGTGTTCTTCCTCTGATGGCCACTTAGCTCATCTCTCACCTCTTTCCAGTCTACTAGTCAAATGTTGCTCTCTCACTGATGACTGCCTTGACTGCCTTTGAACACAACAGGCTGCCCACCACCACTCCCCATTGTACTTTGCTGTACTTTCCCTTTTTTCCCGTAGTTCTAATCATCCTCCAACCTACAATTTACTTGTTTATGATATTCATTGTTTGTTATTACTGCTTCTTCCTTTCTAGAATGTAAGCACTATGAGGACAGAAGTATTTTTATATTTTAGTCACAGTTGTATTCCAAGGGATACAGAGCTATGTGTAATAATATGCTTCATAAGATTTGCAGTTACAGTTATGTCATTTTAAATTAAAATTGCATATATTTATAAAATTAGTATACTAAAGATAACATGTCCTTGATTTTTGGTTGGTTTTGATATTGAACTACGGTAGTTTTAAAATGGTATATAATGGAACCATCAGAAATTATCCAGCTGCATGGAACTGTTTGCCTCTATCCTAATTGATCCCCTCATATAGCTTTCTTTGGTCCTTTATTTATTTATTATAGATATTATGTTCCCTTTGCTTGCTGGGTGTCATTCATTAATTCACTGCTGTCAGTGTTGCCACCTCTGCGCAGTGCCTGTGCTCCGTGTTCCTTTACTAGCATGTGATTTCAGTTCTGTGGGGTAAGAAAGCAGATCACCAAGATCATTAGCATTTTGGTATCATAAAAAGTAAATTTGAGTGAAGTGCTTGGGCTATGGAAGGTCACTGATAGCTTCAAGTCATTTATGTTTATAACTCCTTTCTTCTCTCTCTTGTTTTGCTTAGACAGGCCAAATAAGATAACTGATCTAGTATTCAACCAGTGCATTTTTTAATTACAGACTGGTAAAAAATATTAAGACCACAACTAATCTGATGCAAAAAATATTGTCTTTAAGATGTCCAGATTACTGATTCATTTTGTTAGCAAGTGATATTAACATAGACATTGCTGTTATTTTGTCAATATAATTTAATGTTACGGGGGAAAATATGATCGAAAGCCACCTACTTCTGAATTAATCCCGAGATGGCCTTGTTTTTGTGGTTTTAATTGCTGATATGTGAGGGCAATCTTGTTCCTTGATCACTGATCTCCTTTATCGTTTGACCTGAATTATCTTCTTGTAGCATCTGTGTTAAAGTAAAGCTGTACTCAGATTCTAAATTTCTTAAATCCTTCACAGAGAAATATTTGGTTATATGTGGCGTGATAAAGATTTGATCAATCAAGTTATCAATTCTCAAAAATGTGAAGATATTTAATATAAAAATTAGATTTTCTCTAAGTCTTTGGAAGGACTTTACATGGGTCAAGATTAAA